CTGCATAGAGCTCCTTGAACTGACCTTCAAGTGCATGGGAGTCACTCCAGCCTCTGCCCTGCAGGCAGATTCTCAGAAGCATGTTGAGCTCAGGACATGTTCTATTTCCTCTAAGCTACTCCATGTTGTAGGTTTTTCAGGATGTCCATTGCTAAAGTAGACTCTATTTTACAAGGCAGTCTAGATTCCATTTTGAGGAGATGTCACCAAACTTTGATCCACAGGACGGAGCCCATAAGTGTACAAAAATGATTAACAGTTCTGTGCTGTATCTTTACAAAGGTGAAACAGAGAAGAACAGGAAGGTTTTCATTTTTCAATCCTTAACATCATAGAGTGAATGTTGTCTGCTCACACTCTACTACTAATTATCCTTGTTATCATTTTAGCTCCACAGAATTATCCCACAGTGGGTAGAATGCTGCTTGTCAGGAAACATTCCTAACAACTAGGTCAGCTTCTAAAACATCATTGACTCATGTTTGGGGTAAAAGACAATGCTCTGTGCACATGCATGTGAAAGCCAATCATGTTTGAGCACAATACTTCCATGGAAATATAATGGAGTGTTTCATTTTCCAAATCACTACAGTCCATAGTAAGCAGAGGACCAAATGGATTCTTCCCCTACTCATATAATGTGACATTGGTGCCAGTTCTGTACTGTTCAAGCACAGGCTGGTATTTCACCTCTTCCCCCTTTGTCTCTCTAATAAATGGAACCATTTATGATACTGGCCAAAGGGTTTTAGAAAGAAAAAAACAATTAGCTAACTGTATGTGGGTGCATGTGCCTACAACCATGTATTTTTGATTACGAGTGTGTGTGTGTGTGTGTGTGTGTGTGTGTGTGTGTGTGTGTGTGTGTTGTCTATGTTTGTGGAAAGCACAAAGAAGAGATCAATGAGAATGGGAAAATAAACCTTCAAGAAATGATATGTCAGCATAGGCTTTCAGACCCATCCCAGTTATCCAAAGCATCTACATGAGAATGACCTTTTGTGAAAGGCCATGGCACCTCTGCTAGCTGCAATATTCCTGGCTCATTAGTGAGTGATTGGAATGGGCTGGCAGATTTAAATCCTCACTGCATGTTAGAATCATTAGAAAATATCTAAACGAATTTTGCTTAGGTTCGTGGATAGCACAACAGAACACACCCCAGGATCAGATTTAAAACCAGTTTTAAAACAATCAATCAAGCCAGGTAGTGGTGGCACATGCCTTCATCACTGCACTCAAGAGGCAGAGGCAGCCAGATTTCTGAGAGTTTGAGGTCAGCTTGGTCTACAGGTCAGTTGCAGGACAGCCAGGATTGCTTCACAGAGAAAAGCTGTCTGAGAAAAAAAAAAAATAAGCCAAGGGGCTAAACATAGATAAGAATTGTGGGTTAATTTGAATGTAAGAGCTAGTCAGTAATAAGCCTGAGCTAATGGCCATGCAATTAGTTATAAATAATATTAAGCCTCTGTGTGAATGTTTTATAAAAGGCTGCAGGACAGTGGGTGAGAGAACTGTCCCGACTGTGGGTCAGGCGGGACACAGGAAACTCCTGACTGCAATGAGGCTCATGGCC